ATTGAACTCACCTTATTTTTCTTAATTCTCGAGGATCTCCAACCCTTCGGGTTCGATATGCTACAACATATCTCAATACACTTTAATAATTATATACAAAATAATCAAATTAACTCAAATTCAAACCTAATTAAATTTAACTAATAATTAATTAACAATTTCCAATACAAATAAAATTAAAAATCAACTAATTAATCAAATTTAACCTAATTAATTAATTAAACTTAAATTAAATTAACCTAATTAATTCTAATTCAAACCTAATTAAATTTAATTAATAATTAATTAACAATTTTCAATCTAAATAAACTTTAAAATCAATCAATTAATAAAATTTCACCTAATTAATTAATTAAACCTAAATCAAATTAACCTAATTAATTCTAATTCAAACCTAATTAATTTTAAACCTAAATCAAATTAACCCTAATTCAAACCTAATTAAATTTGACTAACAATTAATTAACAATTTCAATACAAATAAATTTAAAAATCAACCAATTAATCTAATTAATTAATTAAACCTAAATCTAACTAACAATTAGTTCAAAAATTAACCTAACAATTAATATAAAAATAATAATTTAACATATTAATCAATAAATTAACAATTAAAACTATAAAAAAATATAAATCAACCAATTAAATTTAAAATTAACCTAACAATTATGAAAATAACTAACTCTTAAGGAATAAGAGAGAGAGAGAGAGAGAGAGAGAGAAGTTACCTAATTTAAACAAGAAAGAGACCGAGAGGAATGAAGGAAAAATAGAAGTTTTTAGGAAGAAAAGAGTTTGGAGTGGGTGTGGATTGATGGAGAGTGGAAGAGTATAATTTTTTTATGGTTTTGGGTAGGGGAAGAACCGAACGACTAGAGGAGGAGAAGGAAGAAGAAGGAAATGGGGGAAGAAGAAAGGGAAATGTGAATTTAATTAGGGATTCGGACCAGTAACAAATACGATCCCGTCACTAGTCGGTCGCTAATCCATCGTTAAATGGCCAGCTTTTTAACTCAATAAAGCCGTTTATTTTTTAGAACGAACAACGAAAACACTTCCATCGCCGATTCGTCGCTATTTAGCAACAAAAACTTAATATCCGTCATTATTCCATCGTTAAATAGGTAGCTTTTTTATTCCAAAAGATCACCCATTTTTTTAGATTTAGTGAGAGATTTCGTGCTTTAGCGATGGAATATCCCTCTCTAAAGAAAAATATTAAAAAATAGCAACGAAATAATATCTCGTCATCGATTTTCATAGCCATTTTATTGCTAACCATTCACTAAAATACCCAAAAAGATTTTGGCACCTCAAATAACGATAGAATTTCATCTTTCATTGATAAACCGTCATCAAATTGTCTCCATTCCATCTCTAAATCTCACGTATACTATTTGATTGCTATTTACTCATTATTTAGCGATGAAATTATTTTCATTGCTAAAATCTATCGCTATTTTCCGTTTTTCTTGTAATGTTATCTCCCTGTGGTTTTTGAATTTCCCTCTCGCCCTTTGATTTTAACCTACCATGACTATGATTCGACCATGTTGAAATTCTCTTCCTCTACTATCAATACTTAAAGAAAAACCTAGAGGTTCCATAGACTCATTTTTGTAAAGATCTTCATTGACTAATAAATCTTGAACATCATCCAATTTCAATTTCTTATTCTATGATAAAGCTGGTTATCGCTATTACAATTTCGGACTAGGTATCGGGTAAAGAAGATAGCAAAATCAATGCCTTAAGTTTATCATCGAATATGATGTTTACTCAATTCAATTGATTGATTAACATATTAAATTTATTGATGTGATTAGTCACGGACACACCATCCGTCATCTTTAGATTGAATAATTGATGTATCAAAAAAACCTTGTTTAAGACGTATGGCTTTTCATACATATTTGATAACATTATCATCCGATCTGTTGTGATCTTTTTCTTTCACGATGTTGAAAGCAATGTTTCATGTCAATATGAGTCGAATAGCACCTAGAGCTTGGCAATCCAACAAAACCTAATTAGCTTCTTACATCCCCTCTAGCTACTTCCTTAATAGGGATTCGTGTATCTTTTTTTACTATAGATAATTTTCAATCTACATTTTCCAAAACTTAAAGCCTTTACTATCAAATTTGTCAATTCCGACTTTTCCTTCTTCCGCCATCGTTTCTCCTTACCCTACGAAGCTAGGGCTCTAATATTAGTTGTTAGGAAATGAATCAAACAAGAAAAAGAATAGAAAAACAAGAACAATCACACAATACAAGGATTTACGTAATTCCGCATAGCACACTAAAATGTAGGACATATCTATATTAATCTCCATAACTTAACATAATAGACCACATGAACACATAGTTAGACAACCATAATCACCTAACTTAATTCAATTAAAAAAAGGCGAGATAATATGTTGAAAACAAAAGTTATTGGGTTCTTAAAGAAACCCTAACTTTATAAACAATAAATTAGGAGTTTTTATCTATTGTTTTTAAAAATTTAAGTAAAAAAACAAAGTAATTAAAAATAAGTGAAAAACCACCATATTTGAGTCCAACTTCTGATGATTCTCGATGTTTCCACTCTATATCCTCTTCTTGCTATCTGCTCTACTTTTTTCAAAATCAAAATACTTAACTTGCTGGTTTGATCAAATCATACAATTTTGCTTTCTTCTTTTTATTGATATTTTGCTGAATTTGTCATATGGAATCTCAATTTAGAAGTTCTTGAACAATCATTTAATAAATTAAAAGCAACCACATGTATGCTTCTCAATTGTGGTTTACGAGGCTTTCGTTATCTTACTTAATGAAGATTGACATTATAACAAATTTGAAACTTATATGGTAAACTGAAACAACAAACAAGTTTTTGAATGAAATTAGACAACGCATAAGCTTTAGGGGAGGTAAATTATAATTAAGAGCAACCACCCGGGAAAGTCAAATGGTATGCCTCTCATGTGCGATTCGGCCAACAGAGATTGATGTTGCAATAAGTTTATTTGAAACTTATAGGATTTAACGAAATAAAATAAAGATTTTATGCGAAATTAAAACAATATATAAACCTTAGAGGAGACAAATTAGAATTTATCCAAAAAAAAAAAAATTCTTATCCCAACTGTGAATACGAGATGAGCCTTGCATCATATGACAATATGTACGGGATTAATTTCCTTTTCTTTTTTTTTTAATTCGACAATAAGACATATTCTGGAACCACATTATATGTCAAACAAACTAAGTTTTCTCTTTAAGAAATCTTAAGGATGAATCTCTAATGTCAACCTGGGCATGAAATTAATTTTCCTAAATGTTGGCTTTTAAGGTTTGAAGTCATAAAATCGCTTAATGATTTCAGAAAAAATTAATAATTTTTTAGATGCTAACTCTAAGATTTAAACTCATAAAATTATATATATATTTCCTTAACTACCAGACCAATCATTGAAAATTATGGAATTAGTTATCCTAAATCTTGTGTTTCATAGATTTTTTTTTTTTTTTTGGCTTGCAGCTGTTTATCCATCCATCTAATAAAAAAACAAAAGAAAAAAAGGTTGAGCAACCCTGAGTGCTTGATCTAATTAAAAATGAGAAATATATTACTCCATGCAAATAAAAAGCCTGCTAATTTCTTCGTATCAAACAACCCAATGGAATCTTATGGGACAGTAAAGTATTTATCATATGCTCATTTTAAAGAACCTACCATGAGGTATTAACTGTGTTTAAATCATTTCCATCAAAAGTAGACTTCAAATAAATATTCGAAAGGCAGCCTAAACTGCATTAGCCACCAGGGTAGTAAAAGAGATGGCACTTGTACCATCTCTATTTTAAAAGGATATAAAAGGACTTCTGCCTCCATAAAGATGGAAGTGAAACCTGATAAAAATATCTAATTTATTTCCCCATATATATATATATATATATTACTTTTTCAATGTATGTTTAAAATAAATTGTGTAGCTTTTTTTTTTTTTTTCCCTTAAAAAGCTAAATGGGCCTCTCCTGAATTTCATTGGAAAATAAATCCTTGGAATTCTAATTTTTTTTATAAAAAACTAATGGATGGATTAAATATTGAAAAGCTTAAAATTCAAAAAGTCGAACCTAAAATTAGGAATTCAAAAACTCATTTCCTAATGAATTAAAATTCAAGAATGTTTTGACCTATGTAATCTTTCTGAAATTAAATGCCCCATAAATGTAGAATACTTTATTTCTCCCAGGCTTAGATACTTTACTTAATGAAGGACCTCATTTTATTTGTTCAAGGCTTATATACTTAATGAAAGATCCCCCTTAGAAGTCTGCTTTTTGGAGACGAGAATGGAAGATCAAAAATTATTCCGATGTAAATGAAAACAAGTACGAAAGTTAAGAAGCCTCCATGAGGGGTCCTTCCATTCCCGTGAACCTCTGATGCATTTCATGCACAAAAGACCAGAAGTAACGCAGACCCAAGAATGGTTCTGATAGCCTAAGGGGCCCACAAGCTACCAAACGAGGCCTTAATTCATCAGTGGCCCACGCAAATGCCAGCTTATGTAAGATGATGTCTTTAACACCAAAATGAACATGAGGTAGCTATAGCATCATATCTGACTCTCTATCCAACATCCGAAAATAGGACAATTAACACTGGTTTCTGAGAGGTGACCACACTCAAAGAACCATAAAGAAAATTTATCAAAGAGAAGTGCTACAAATTTCACACACAAAAAATCACCTCACCTATTTATAGAAAATATAGAAATATGCCGAACAAATTTACAAAGATGTTTCTCTTTACATGCGAGTAACCATGCCCTTAATTTATGCTGAAAATTGCAAATGCTGCCTCAGTTGTGAAAACGAGATGAATGTGTGAACCGAAAAAAAAAATAATAATAATAATAACAACAAAACTGTACAGCATGCTATACAAATGGGTGTGATGCTTTTGTAAACTACTTGGTCAATACTTCCGCTTGTGTACTATAAAAACTGATCCTGATTTCCATTTGAATCAGAAGAGCTCGGAGCCGGTGGTCTTGCTTGATGAGGTTGTGGAGGAGCTGCAAGGGCATAAGTAAGTCTTGATGAAGAATTCTCAATGAGACCTGCAACTCCTGCAGCAGAAGACTGGGCACTTGAAGGAAGGAAGAGATCATGTTTCTGGTCTTTATAAGCACTCCAAACCTGCAAAATGGGCATAACCACCAGCAATATTTTTATTTCAGCAAAAAGAACCAACTTAAAGACACATCATGCACTAGATTTAGGACAATAATTTCTAAAAGTAATTGCAGTGGGAACTAAATTGCAGCACTCTTCATCAACAAATGCATCATACTATCCAAGATCTTCTGGAATGATGAATGATTGAAAGCTTAGGCATAACAATGACGCTTAAGGTGTCCACAAACCAGGATATACAGCATAAAAATAAAGATAATTGGAGAAGAACATGTCGGTACTTACATCAGATGCATTTAATATCTCACGCACTTTATTGCAGTGTGCTCCTTCCGTTGCAAAAGCATGCAAAACCTACACCAACATAATCCCATCACATAAAAGATATGAAACAGCCTCATAAGCATGAAAAAATAAAGGTTGAAAGGTATGAAACAGCCTCATAAGCATGAAAAAAGAAAGGTTCTCTTTCGTAGATATTTCCATAATTACAGCATATGCACAGGTTCACTACATCTAAGAACTACCAGCAACAGTGAAGCATCATCCATCTGGGTTTTGTCATGTAACCCAACTTTTAGTCTTTCGTAATGAAGCAACCACATTTGGAAGCATAAGAGACTAGAGATTTAGAACATCTAAACTGAATCCAAAAGCATGTGAGTGGTATTTAGTGAATTAGAGAAATACACTAGAAAATGACATAGGAGATTCAATAATATTGACTGGTTAAGCATCAAAAAGTAAAATAATAATATAGAACATCAACCAAAAAACCTTCCAGGTCAACAGGGAGGAGAGAAAAAAAAAGTACTACTAGGATCATGGATATTCTAACCTCAATTGCAAGCACTCTGCCAATAGATGCTTCAGATTCATTCCACTTCATCTGAGAACAAAGTCCATTTCTTCCCCCAGCCCTCCAGTCAAGAAGCCCGAGCAGTACTTCGACAAGACCAACCCTAAATTATTAAAACAGTTTACTTAGACATCAGAAAGAAATTTTTTGAACTTCTATAGTATCAATGAGGCATTTGACAAATTTTAGTATCTGCTAAAGGAAGTCTTGATCCAATTACACAAAACGCCATATTGTTAAAGCAAACACTTTTATCCAAATGTTAGGAGATTCATTAGATATTTCATCTTAAACATTAAAGCTATTTGAAAAATATGTCGTCATCAGTCTTTTTTTTTTTTTTTTTTTGTGGGGGGGTGGGGGCGCCAAAGTTCAATTTCCTCATTCCTTCTCCCTTTAATGATTCTCTTTTTCATATATTTTGGAATAAATTTGATGTCTTCCAATTGAATCCTCCTACAATTAAGTTCACCAAGATGTCTAATTCTGAGGTCCTTTTGTGCACAATTTTTTTATTTATTTATTTTTTTTAACTCACACACCCAAGGGTCCTAGTTGACTAGTCTGCTAGGAAGTATTTTAAAAATATGCTATTTTTAAATTCAAAAGCTGCACAACAATGGAAAATACTTATGGCCTATGCTATTCACATTTTTACTACAATTCACGAGCAAGAAACACACCTCCAAAAAAATGGATCTCACCCCAGTGGAAACACAAAGGCAGTTTATGGATTAATTAACAGATCTAGTATCTCCAGTGGAAACACAAAGGCAGTTTATGGATTAATTAACAGATCTAGTATCTCCAGTGAAGGAGAAAAAAAATGGAAAAGAAATTAACTTACTTAAGTCCTTGAGCAACAAGAGCATCCCGGGCACGATTCCCAGCAACCACAACACGTTTTAATGTTTCAAGTGCAAGTATGCTTCCACCTTGCCATCCTATAGCTTTCATCAAAAGAGGGACAACCTGAACACCAAGCATCAACAGAGTAAACCATTGATCCAGAATACGTAACCATAATGGAGCAGTAACATATTGAGACGAGCAACAATGTGACATACATGTACACGTACAAGCTCAGATAACCACCAGTAAGTCCAAAACACATAAATATACCAGCACAACTTCTCAGAGACCAAACCAGGGGAGAAAAAAGCATTGAACAGAATACTCATAGTATGAACATAAAAAAAAAAAAAAAAAAAAAAAAAAAGACACCAAACCAGGGGGAAAAAAGCATTGAACAGAATACTCATAGTGTGAACATATAAAAAAATATATATGAAAAAACATTTATTGAAATTTGCATGAGTAAAATCCAAAACTGCTAATGCCTTTAAAGGTGGAAAAACAGAATCCATATACACACTGATAAGGGACATAAAGAAATGATTTTGAGCCTGTTTGGCCCCATTGTGGCTGTTGTACTGTGACTGTGTAGTGAGATTGCACATATTAAATTGTTTGGTTATAAGCTTTTGTGCTATGCTCAGACCAAATCACTAAACTGTTTGCAAATCCATTTTTGCCCTGTTTGAATTAAAATCTCCATTAAAGGTGGAACCTAATTTTTTGATTTTTTAAGAAATTAAAATAAGTTACTTGAAACGTGAATTCTTTCATTGATAAAACATTTTTTTTAAAATAATATAGGGAAGAAAAAAAAGAAACAAGAATTAAAACATTACATAGGTTTTCTTTAAGTAAATAAGAATATCATATTATTTAATGAGTCCTTTAATTGATACACGAAATTTTTTAAATAATACATGTATATATACAAATAAAAAGAAAACCAGAATTAATACATTGCTTAGGTTTTCTTTAACTAAATAGAAATGCTATATATTTAATTAAGATATGTGTGCTATCGGTATTTTTGTTATTCAGATTTTTTAAAGGATATTTTTTGTTTTTTAAATGAAATGAGCAGCTTTCCATCTCAAGAAGCATCACTTCCCATGACTTTTTTAAGTTGAATCACCTTCCACTTCCAAAAGTTAAGTAATGGAGCATTAAAATCCTTACCAAACAGTTATTTCCTTCTTTTAATTGCTTTGCATTGCAGGTAAAAACTGGAAAAGCAAGGGGCCATAGATGCTCTTTATTTGCTAATTTCAAATGTATATATAGTTTTAATATAGAAAGTTTTTTAACTTTATTATTACTAAAGAAAATATTAATCAAGATTTTTTATTTCCTAGTTGATATAAGTAAGGTTTCTTGGTGTATATATATAAGAACCATATTTTATGTACCAGTAACAGCTATGTTAATGGTGAATGAAGAGATTGTTGAGAATTATTTCTTTTGTCTTCTTCTAACCCTCTTCTGTAGAGTTTTTCTTTATGGCCTTCACCCCTCTTCTATAGTGTTTTCTTACTCTAATTCAATGTATCCCTCTCCTATAGAGAAGTCTTAATGTTTTATATTCATTCTAACCTTGTTCTACATCCCACATTTTCAGAACAAGGGGAAAAAAGAGACAATCTGCACCTCAAAATTTCAGAAACTGTAAACAGTGATGGAGTGCTCAGCTGCCATAAAGGACACCTTAACATTACAAGGACTTGCACTATGAGAATCAGTTTTAGACCAAAAGCATTTAATAAATGTCTGCGTGTTAGCAAAAGAAAGAGAAGGAAGAACTTAATGATTTGCCTCAACAAACTAATTTAACCTATCAGAAGAAAAGAATATTACAAAATGTACCTGAGGTGTTCCTACACTAGTTGCTGCCATAGCTTCAGCACATGTTGTACTTGCTGCAAGTTGATGAAGAACACGCAAACAACTAAGGCGCACTCGTTCTTGAGGAGTTTGAACAGGTGGCATTGATCCATCATCAGATTCATATGTTTTGCGTCCATAGTTGCCATTCTTCACCTCCTCCGAAGCCATTGTTTCTCTTCTTCCCTCGTATGCCACAGCAGCCACAAGTTTTGGCACATATCCCAGATATCCAACATGATCAGCAAGTGCAGGGTGCACTCGTAGTAGTGAAACCAAAGCAGCAGAAAGAAGTAAAGGAAGCTCCGGGTCAACAGCTTGTGTGTCATAATGAGTGGCAGCAATGGATGACAAATATTGATCAAGTAACCCTTCCAAGAATCTCTTTGGATTTCTAAGAGGAAATTTGGGATCTTTCAAGAACAGCCTGACATAGATTCCACCGACCTGCATGACTATGAAACTGAGTTTCCTGCAGAATACATAGACAGTATAGTATAGAGATAGCATCTATCACGTGATACCTGTGGCTCATCTCTCATTTCTTGCTGTCTAGAAGCCTGCTCAGGGACATCCCAATCAACAACACGACCTTTCATCTGTTCACGGTACAAGTCTGATGCCATAGTAGCAATTTGTGCAGACAAAGATGCCGCCATTGCTGGAGTCCACACAAGCTCTGGAGTCTCTGTTGTCTGCTCTAGAGCAGATACAACTGCCTCACCAGGACCATCCCTGATAACTGCTACAAGGCCATCTGGAAGAAACCTTGCCAGAGTTATTGCAACTCTAGGCCCATGCATTGGCTGCCCAACAAGCTTCCCCATTAAGGAGGCTGCTGCTGCTCTCTGCTGTAAGGGAATATCTTCTGCACATCATAATTTATATAATCAATGAATGTAACTTCAAAATAAACAAACAGTGAAGGAAAAGATCATTACTTTGCAAAGGCAAAAGAAGTTCAAGAATGTACACCACTCCACCATGCTTGGCAGCTGCCCAAGCAAGTTCTGGAGTGCTTGCCAAAGCATATAGAACATGAAGAACCCCTTCACGGCAACTTGGAGCGTAGTGTAGCATTTGTAGTAAGAGGAGAAGGCTAGATCCATCTGCAACCATAGCCTCCAAGCAAGGAGCATATGTAGTCAAGAGAGACAGCACAGCCAGGCAAAGTTGAGGAATATTACTTTTTGATGCAATAGGAACAGAAAAGCATCCAAAGAGAGGTAACAGCTTATCCTTGGAAGAGAATATAGACGCCAAATTTGGATTACTTGTCAGTAAGTTCTGTCAGTTAAGGGCAAAAGTCAGATGCATACAATTAATAACAACCAAAATGCAAAAGTCAATAATGTACCTTCAGTGAAGTCAATCCAAATTGAAGGTTCTTAACCAGATCCAATTCTCCTTTATCTGTTAATTTTCCATCAGAGACAGCCATCGAATCATCAGGAACATGCTGTCCATTTCCTGATACAACTGAAGTTTTGCACTGAACCTCAGATGTCTGAGGGGTTGAGCTGCTCGGATTGAGTGTACTTTGAATATCAGAACCTATGGCAAACTGATTATTCACAAGGAAAGATATGAAATCAATTAGAGCAACACAGAATGCTTCTGGATCACTGATCTCAGAGTCTGGCTGATCATTATAGACCCTCAAGTAAACATTGCCAACAAATAGTTCTTTGGACAGCGTCTCATATAAAAAGACACGTGAATCTTTCAAGTCATATGAACCATCAGGGCCCTGGCTTGCACGTTGCTGATCCACGAATTTCAGCAGTTCTGCCCGAGTTGAAGAGTTCCAGATAATCTAAACCACACAGATTTAATAAATAAATATTAATCATAGACAACAGGAAAAAAAAAAAAAAAAAAAAATTCACACACGGAACTACAACCAAAAAGCAGCAAATAAGCTTAATGCATATGTTGCAAGCTAAACATGAATTTAACTTAGGAGCAATATTTAGGCCATTAATTAACAGTAACTATTCATAGGATCATCTCATCAGAACCACCCTTGACTCCACAAGGCCTGCGTGACCTGGCCTGATGAATGGGGGAAACTAATAGGAGGAAGAAAATAATCAGCAATCAAATATAACTATCTACTACTACATTTCTGCTGCCTGGATTTGGCAATTGGTAGCAATTTGTATGTAAAAATGAGGAAATGCAATGTGCAAAGGACTCAAACCCCAACAATGAAATAACTAGTTACACATGCAATTCCATTGTACAAATGCGGAACAGGTTTTGCAGACAAAATGTTCTAGATGCAACAAACAAGTCCTGAATATTTCAACCCTTTCAATTGAATCCCATGACTCATTTATCTCCCAAAAAAAAAGATAAATATCATGATGACACAAAGTCATGAATAGACACAGAAAGAGAGCCCTCAAAGTCAGATTTAATCTCATTTTTGTGCAGCATCTTTCATTATTCTATAGCATAACTCCTCTCCATAATACCAAACAAAGACCTATGAAACATGTTGATGACAAACGAGGTAGAGAGATTGAAGAGAGGCTCTGAATTGGTTGGTAAACAAGTTTAAACCAGACAAAAACCAAGCCTCAATCTCAAACAAGTTGAAACCAACGCAAGATCCCTAACAAATTAAAATAAAATAAAAATTCCCAAAAAGTTATAAGAGAAATAATTAATAAAGCCTAAACTACTCTTAAGAACATTCATAACTCTGAAAATTTCTTTCCCTAAAAATTGACAGCATTTACCTCTGGAGACTCCAAGTTCGTGTTTAATTTGATCAATAAGTCTTTTGGTAATTGATCTTTCAGCATGCTAGCAAGCTTAGGGGTTAGCAAAGCTCTGAGGGCATCAGCTGCAGCTGCATTATAAGGTGTTGAACTCCCATCTGTGCACAAACCACAAAGCCTTGACAAAGCCTGAGATGCTCGAACAGCATGCATATTTTTTGCAATTTGAACACTAGAACCAACACCCGGGGACTCCGTTGTATCAGAGTCCTCGGCAGTTGAGTCATACTGAAGCAACAATGGCAAAAGGTACCTAAAAGGAAACCAACTTCACATATAAGAATATTTGATTGAGGATGTGGGACGAGAAAGGATAGGGATAGCTGTCCAGCTGAAAGAAAAATTATCCACAGTTATTCTTCTTTTTTTTTTTTTTTTTTTTCCTTCTTCAAGGAGGCGAGGGGATTGAAATTAAAAGCGAAAGTAGTAATGGTCCGCTGAAACAGAGAACATTGCCAACTAATTGGTATGACATTGCAAAGATTCTTCCTAGGGTGGTCATCAGGGATGCATGACTCCGAAAGTAGAATGACAATGAAGGTCACAGGCACGAAAATTGAGAGAAGGGACGAATAATGTAATAATAAAATCAGATTGAGTAGCGCAAGCAATTCGTAAATTAAAGTATGGGTGCGGAAATCCTCCACTTCAATTGGTATTTTTTTCACGAAAAGCAAACATGAGATAACAAATCCAGTCTTTCACTACCGCAACTTAGCTAGATGTATGTGTGTGTGAACACATGCAAAGCAAAGCGAAGCAATAGTTAAAAAAAAAATGAAGGAAAAGAGGAGCTGATTTACCAAAGCACGCCAGCCTTTAACAAGGCATCCTGTAATTCAGAGGACACAGAAACATGAGTAATAGTCTGGAGGGCAGCATCCACAGCTTCAGGTACAAGCTCAAGTTCAGTGGTGTGCACAATATCCTCAACTAGTCCAGAAAATTCAAGCATCTCAGCTCTGGCACTCTCAAACTGACTCAGGACAGAAAAGGTCCGCATCACGTTTGTAACAATAATAGCAGATGGTTCACTTGCAGAAGTAGTTGGCTGAACTACACACATGCAACGGGAAAAAAGAGTTGCAATAAGTTGTATCCCACCATCCCTTACAAGCTCCTCGCCATTTAATGAAGAGGAAGCACACCTAAATATACAGAAGTTGTAGACAGAAGTAATCCTAGTCAGAATCTCTGCTTAAGTCTATTAGTAGAAGCAATTCAAGAAACAGAAAAAATGCAGCATGAATATTTACGTCAGCCAAATAAGCTCTGATGCCGCAACAAGTAAAGGCGCTCTATCTGGAGAAAGGAAATTGTTATCATCTTGGTCCACAGTAACAGCGTTAAGCAACATTGGGTAGCCAGCATATTTAAAAGGCTCAAGCACATCTCCATATCGTCTGTACAAAATACACTGTCCTTTCAATAAAAGTAGTAATCTCCAAAGCTGAGGACCTTGCAACCCTTGCATGGTGGCCTATAAACAGCAATACAAGTCAAAATCTAATTCATTGACCAAACAGTGAGCTGCACCTAAAAACCAATCGCCAAATAGTAGAGAAAACATTGTGGGACAAAACAAGGTAAGATGTGAAACATCCATGTCAAGATGCATTTCTGTGTGCATGTGCATGTGGACTAGCATAAAATTGCACCTTCAGCAAAAATAAGGAAAAATAGAGCAAAGATACAAAAATGAATGATGTTGACCTTATAATTTAAAGATTTAAGTACAGATATTTATATTATAGGGAATCAACTCTTCACTTGCCATGCCTAGAACTTGAAATATTCAGTTGGTTCTTATAATGTTGGCAATCTAAAGGGTGTGAAATTCACTGATCATGCATTTCAACAGTGCAAGACAATTTTTTAAATACTAAAGCATTTGTTGGTTATCGCGTACCTGAAGTCGCTCATAAGCTTTTTGAACAGCAAGAAACTTCTCCCTCCCCTCAGGGTTTTTGTCAGGATGGTATTTCATTGCAAGTTTCCTATATTGCCTCTTGAGCTTTTCTTCATCAATGTTCTCAATCTGCTTTGATATGCTAATTGTCTCCTCAGAAGTCTCAGAAGAATACTTACTTTTGGCGTCATCATTCGATACATCTTCCAGGGATATCTCTAATATTCTGCAAGCTGCTTCTTCAGAAAGATCCATAGGTCTTCGAGTTAACTCTTCACGCCACATTACTAGTAATGACTGCAGGAACTCAACATGTTCAACAATTGGCCAATTTGGAAAGCGAATCTCATCACAGAGGTTCCGAAGGTAATAACGGTGACACCACATTTCATCCCTTAACTCTGGGTATGTCACTGGTGGCATGGGAGCATACTCATATAAAGAATGACAGTGCTGTGACAACTTCTGGGGAAAATCGCCAAGATGTTGCAAGACCTGGTAGAAGGAAAGGAGTACATGATAAATGCCAGTTTTAAAATGTCCTCCATAAAAGTGGTCAACTGGAGACCTTGGCATGATACAAAAAAGCAATGAACTTAACACCGTATTTGCCTCACTTAAGATTTTAAAAATACCTGTCGGATCAAATTTTCAGCACGCATTTTGTGAGTCCAAACAATCTCCGGAGTATCAGAATCAGAAACCATTGCTGCTGCAAATGCAGCTGGACCACTACGCTCAAGTACGTACAGCAAGGATTCAGGGAGAAGCCCACCCAACACACTGCGTTTTGCAAGAGGCAATGACGAGGAAACTGCAGCTTCTTCTCCACCATGGAATGCTTGATGGACATGAGTCACAGAAAAGAGTTGTGCAATGGAGAGGAGATTGGATCCAGGGTATGCCAGGGCAAAATAAAATGCACCTGTGCTGTAAAGACGTACCATTGCCTTGGGATTTCTGGTAACAACAGCCTTCAGCAAAGCTGCAGCAGCCTCCACAATACTTGGCTCCCCAGAAAGCATAGCCTTTTTCCAGAAAATAAAATTAGGTATAGTACAATTTACTCAAGCATTAGCTAACACAACAGGCAGGCAACACCGTCCTGGATGAACATTAAATATCCACAGACATCAAATAAAATGATAAAGAACTCTGGTTTTCTTTTCTTTTCTTTTTTTTTTTTTTTTTTTTTTTTGGGTGTGCCAAGACATAAACTCAACCCCTACTCCCTCTTCCATGATTGGCACAGTGACTGCCACTAGACTAAATGCCCACTGTACTGTGCTTCTAAAATGAAAAATGATATCAATTACTTAGAAACAAAAAACTTTAAATCAAATCTGAGGATAAAGGTAAATTTATTGGAAATTTAACTGTTGATGACTGAAAGAATCGACGAAAAGACTAATCGACCTCTTTGTTCTTATCATACACACGCATCTCTAGAACATGTTCCCTAGTCAAAACTAAAAATCGAGCATGTGAATCAAATAAAATCTTCTCGATACTCCAAGTACATCATAGATGGAAAGACATGAAAACAAGAACTTAACTAACATTCGGGGATGAAAAAATGGCTATGAAAATTACCTGTGCAATATGTGGAAGGCAACGGGGACTAGACAGGATCCGCTTGACCCTTGGGGTTGGGGTAACTATCTCTCCAGCATCATCTAGATCTGAATGTGCAGATACCATGCTATGTAGTATGGATAATGCTGCATCCCCTACCTAGATACAGTATCCACCAATTATCGGGAACCAAAAAGAATATAATATAAGGAAAAAAGTAAGCAATGAGAGAATTGACAGAATGCAAACAAAAGTAAAAAAGAAAATAAGAAATCAGCAAAATCATATTTATGCATGTTGCATATGCATGCCTTCTTTACGTTTACAATAGATTTATGGGAAAAAGGGAAAAAATATCAGGTAAAATCAGTGTAATGCAAGCAGCTGTTATCTAGCTCCCTTCACAAGCACCCGGATCAAGAAATAGGAATGGCACTTCAGCACCACAAGCTAAATTCCATAAATGCAAGAAAATCTGTCAGATTTAAATAGATTGCAATACTTATTTGTAAGCACCAAATTTAGTAAAACATGCACACCCACGCCCTCAATTTAGTCCATAAAATTTCCATTCTAAAACCAATAATATAAAATGCTATTTTATAAATAACACAAAGAAACTGAACAATTGGAGGCTAAAAGTATGGAAGAATTTTACCAAATAAGTACTCAGCAACCATACAATTCAGGTAAAAACAAAAGCACAACAGAAGCAACCACAATGAAGATCCCCATCAACCCCATGCCCAAAATGGCACCTACCTGAAATGATGTAAGGACGGGAACACGAATAGCTAATGCCCAACGAAGTTCACGGATGTCACGCAATCTCTTCCACTCCACCATACCAGATGCCCAGCACTTAGTTGACCAATCAATATCTTTCTTTGACCAGCACCTTCGAATAGCATCCTTCTCTAAGGGACCAATTTGTGCACCATTGTGGTCAATAAACATCCATTCTTTAAGTGGCTCCATGAAAGCAGTAGCCGCTAATAAATTAGATTGCAAAGGAATAGAAGTCCTTTCTGAAGCTTCATGAACCACTGTCAGAAGATCAACTGCCAACACACACCCTCCAACCAAAACACAAGCCTCCACATTAGGTAAAACCTTCATTAAAACCTGCAGATAGATTAAATATAGATAACCAATTATTTTCACATAGATAGTAAGACCGGACAGAAATGCAAATGCCAGTTGAGTCTCAGATTCAGCCCACAGAAACATCTGAAAAACATAGATGATGAGATAAACTAGCAAATAGCATTAACTAAACTCATGCTACTTAACAAATACAAAACTCAACCCTAATATACCTTTAGAAGAAAAAGAAGACGGTGCCTCAAAGCTCTGTCATCTGTCCTATCCAAAAGAACTGCAATATGTGCAGTACCCTCAAAAGGACCTATGATACTGAAATGCTGTTCGTAGACAATCGCCATTGCTCTTGCACAAAGCTCCCTAACCGAAGAGCCTCCCACTCCCCCAAAACCATCTAATCTTCGCATATCACACCAATCGTCAGATGCACCCAATTCATCAGGAACAGTGCCATCTACTGTAAGTCCTATATCTGCATCGCATAAGAACCGATGGTAGAGTGCCCTAAAGAAAGCTACTGGATCACGCAGTGGAAAATCCTGTGCCCTGCCATTGCTGCTACTGTCAAGCAGCAAGCGCAGATAATATTGCCCTACACAAACTTCTTTGGACAAACTAGGATAACTGACAGAGAACTCAGTATAGTTCCAAGATATCTGTGGCGTGCTATCTTGCCCAGCCATGACCTCTGTCGTAGCACCTTCTGGAATAATATCCTCGGATCGTGCTTTCTCAGCATCTAGTTTATTAACCTCAGCCTTCAATGCCTCCCTCAGCTCTTGCCTTGTGCGCTCGTTCCAGATTAAATCAGCACGGTTATGATCAAGGCTAAACGCTCGCCAGAATTCATGCCAATTACAAAGCAGCCGACCAGAACCCACGGGTGTATTCTCCACAACAACCTGTGCAGGAGCTGGAAGCCCTGTATTCTGAATACCAGGCCCATGTGCATCAGAGTCAACTGAATGTGAGGCAATTGGTTCTGACACCTCATGCATATTGGTCGTTGGTGCATCTTCTGAAGCAGCAGTAGGTGAATGATCATTTTGCGGATTTCCTGTGGGGGTAATATCATTGGTCGAATTTTCAATGGCAGGAGCTGCTGATGACGGTCCAGAATTTGCATCTATAGCATAGTTTTGATGGTTATCTGATCCTCTTACACCAGCATTTATCTGCCTCATGGGATCACTAACTTCATAACTATTAACAGGAGGCAAGGAAAGCTCTTGAGAGGCAATACCTCTCCGTGCACGACCTTTTCTCTGCTGAAGCAGACGCCTCTGTCTTCTACTGATAAACGTTCCTTCTTGATTTGCATCTTCAAGTTGAGCTCCATCGGAACGTGTGTGCAGATAAGCAACAAGGCCAGGAGGCAAAACTCTAGACAATAGATCCAGAGCTGGCTGATAGGAATCAGCCCAAAGAGCAACAAGCTGTCGACTAACTTCACGTCGCTCACTTGCAGAACTGAAAAATGCATGTAATAAGTGCCTCAGTAAAGCACCGTCACGTAAAGCAGCATCACGCATGGACTCTGCTGCAATTGCATCCTCTTCTGCAATTGTGCGCATGATCACAGCAACTGTTTCCCTTACACTTTCAGCAGGATGCGCAAACAAAGAAAATAAGCGCCTGCGTAAACCAGCTACTTGGCGCAACAATTCAACAAAAACTGTGTATTGGGTAGTTTCACCATGTGGTTCACATATCATGGCCTCAAGAACTTCAACAACAGCCATTGACAGTAGAGGTGATATAGACATGGGTTTCAATCTGTTGACGACGATGACAACATAACCATTATGAGCAAATAAAACAGATTTTGCATGCATTATAGTGGCATGTTTCTCTCCTTTGGAATCTGCAAATAAACTTGCATCTCCAGGACCACCACCAATGAGAGCTGCGACAAGCCCTGCAGCTTCAGCAGCAACACCCTCAGAACCATTTCTTAGTAAACCCATTATTCTTCCAACGGCAGCAGGAAAAGACATCACATGCGAAGCTGCACTTCTTGAAGCCAATAATCTACGTAAACATGCAACAAAACCCATCACTGTCGCAGCTGCTTTGGGGGAAGGTGGCGGCAACGGAGGAAACTCTGGAGGAAGATTTGGAGTAGCTGGAAGCATTGTGATCAAGGCCATCAAAGTTACCTCAGGCACATCAATGTTAATAGGAACACCACTATATGGAATACATGCATTGAACTCCCTTATTCTACGCCACAATTTAGCTCTTGAACCAGGAATTGAACCACCTTCAGTAACAGCATCTTTAGCAGCTGCAGCTAAATGTTTCAAATGCAAGGATGCAATTTCCACATCAGCAATTTGACGTTGTGACCCTAATAGTAAATGGACCCTCCCACAAGGTGGATCAATACGATGACCAGGCATTGTAAGCCTTGGTAATACAGGCACTGGGAACTGTCCCTGCACAAGTAAACTCAACAGGTTAACCACAGCACCACATCAAACTTTCCTATTGAATGCACATGCCACTGGTAATCTTGGAGGTTTACAAATTAAAATCATGCATATAAACACTTTTACAGGAATAACCTAACCACATTCAACAGGAACAGATATACCTACTTCTGTTTGCAACAAATCCCGAACTGCAGCTAGTAAGCTATCCCGAGACGTGCTTGCATAGATCTATTTCCATGAAATACAGATTAGGAACTTTCCACCAAAAGCAAATAGAATTCAAAATGAAGTCAAAATGCTCACATGGATGGGGCACCCATCATTGAACTCGATGGCAAACATTTGGGGCTCCTCGGCAAATCGTACAAGAGAACTTACAGCATACAAAGGACGAACAATAACAGCCTGCACGCATCTAATGAAGATACTCAGCATTTGATACAATTCCATCAAGTATACCATATTTACACACCATCATGCATGCATTTAAGTAAATGTAAAATAAAGCTCACTCATTTTGTACGAATTGTTAACAACTGATGCATAAGGCCAACCTTAATGGGATGTACAAATTATCAGTCTTGCCACAATAACTCAATCATAAATTGCACTTCTAATTTTTCGTCAACTTACTTCATAGTTATCAGGGCGCCTTTCAACAAGTGAACCCTTTGTTAAAATGAGTCGGCGAGAGACAGCATCGCCATGCTCTCCAAGCCCCCTTTTGGACCCACTCCCAAACTCAATCCAGGAACATTTAAAGTTCCATGAGCAGCAGAACGCAACCTTGTCACAGACCAATTCCCAAACGGGGTCTCCTCTTCTCCAACTGCTTCTTTTTCTAAAGTTTCAAAAATAAAGAGATATATAAATAATTTGAGAGAAACAAGAAAGGAAAAAAGATAGAAAAAATCATATGACAGAAAAAAAGGTAATGGTGTGTTTTTCAATAATGAGATACCCCTTCGCTTTATATACTCTTCTGCACTCAAGGATTGAGAAGTGTCCACATGTAGTGAGACCCCAACCATGGACTTCGCAGTTTTAGTCTGCAAAAGCACACTCAACAAATGATCTCTCGTTTATTTTGAGTCCTAAAGGGAGAGAGGCTACAGAGTAAAACGGATCTTTACACAAGAAATACATATAAGAACGAAATCATAAGGTAACATTCATACCAAGTTCGAGACAATTGCAGCATTCGTGGTTCCTGAAGCAGCTTGGAAAGCTTTAGATTTTCTCCCATATGCAGGGCAGAGAACAAAACCTCCATGATCACTACCTTTCTTTCCATAAGCATCAGCAAGGAGAATGATAGCAGGTGAACTCATGTCTCTAAAATCTAAACACCATCGAAGGTCTCCAGATTTTAATTCAATCACCTCAACCCCAGCATAAGTAATTTTCATTTTCTGCAAAAAACTCAGTAATTTGGAGAGAAAAATATATGTATATTAAATCATAAAGTTTCACAATACTAGCTAGTATATCTAAATTATCAACTTGAGCTTTTTTTTTTATCCTTCTTTTTGAATAACCTCATAGTCCACACAACAAAATGTGAGGTAATAAGACATGAGTAAAAGCCAATATTAGTTGTTGCTCAATCAAAAAGAGAGAGAGAGAGAGAGAGAGAGACTTACAAAAAGGACCCAGTCTTTAGGCTTTCTCCTGAGATGCAAAACCGGGAATTCAGCGACAGGAGCAAGCCTGCTCCATCGAATCCGATGCAGCTCAGTCAAAATACTAGCTCTAAACTTAGAGGAAAACTTAATCGCCTTGAATTTACCTTTACCATCAGTCCTCACACTCAAATTAAACTCACTAGAATTCTCATCTCGCCCAATAATTGGCAAAGCGCTCTCGAAATCAGTACCAACATCATAAGAATTAGTAACGGAGAGCGTGTTAGGGTCTAAAGTGATAATCGAAACATTCGAAATACAAAGAATCCTCTTGTACCGCCCACGCCATGAATGTTTTACCACCAGGTAGCGTGCTAGGTACTCAGGCTCTTCTTGAAGAGGAGGAGGGGCAGAGTTGGAAGAAGAAGATGATGATGAATTTGTTGTGGATTCCATAACTGAACGGTTGTGATCGTGACGAGTAACAGATTGTTGGTCTTCTAGATAATAGAGGGTGTGAGAGCGAGGGACATTGTTAGACCGGAGAAAGAAGAATAGTCCCACGCCGGCTTGGGGGTGAGACCGTGACTGATTCGTACCCAGTGTAAGGCCGTGATTGCCGATTCGATTTTCCGATTTGATCGGTCACCGATACCTTTACAATACCTAATAGGAAACCTATTACCACGGAAGTATTTTTTTTATATAATTTAAATCAGCTATCGAATTTGAGATGGATCTCAAATTCTCAAAGTTGATTGAAGGGATTTTTTTGCTTTTGCTTTTTTGTTCTTTTGACAGCTAGGAGAAACGAGAGAGAGGAAGAAGAAGAAGGGAGACAGTTCGTGCTTTGATATTGTTTTGGAGAAACCTCAATCTAGTTCCTTACGTATATACTCATTCTCATTTAGGTATCAAATCAAAAAACTTTATCAATTAGGTGCTAAATATTATAGACATTTTTCAATTAGAAAATGATTTATAATTTATATAAAACAATGGATCCACTTATTAGTAGTAAAATATAGATTTTGTATCTGATAAATGATTTATTTTGAATTAAAAAATAATTTTTATATAAGTTCACTATTATTAAAAATCTTAGTTTTTATTTAGTGTTGTTAGTAAGAACTTTATATGGAAAAAAAAATTTTTGCTTTGAAATTACAAAAAATTTAAATTTTGTCTAAAATGTTTATTTCTATAGTATTATTCAAACTTTCCAATTAACTCTTTTTGTTAATGTTTGTTAACTGTTCATCAAAATGTTTTGAAAAATACTTAAATTCACACATTAAATTAAAAAAAAAACATTAATAAACAGTGTTAAACTGACTTAAACAAAGAATGTAGGCAAAGTTCAAGACCTAATTGATAAAAAGATCTTAATTTGGGACTCAATTGTGAATAGGTACAAGAATTAGAGACAAATGTATGGTTTTCCTATTGTTTGAAGAGTAAATTATAATTAGTCTCTTTTATTTTCAAAAATAATTAATTAATCTCTTTTATTTTAAAAATTAATTATTTAATTTTTATATTTTAAAATATATTTATAATTTTTTAAAAAAAATAAAAGAATTGATTAGAAAATAAGAGATTTTATGAAATATAAATAATATTAAATTAAATATGTTTAATATTGATTAAAAGATTAAATAATAATTTTTGAAATAAAAAATTAATTTATTTATTTTTTAAGACTAGAGGGACTAATATATAATTTATTCCAACTGTTTGTGTCAGGGAGGCCTTCTTTAAACTGTTAAGAGGTCTTTTTAGGGTAGAATTGCTTGCCTTTAACGAAGTGATAAACCTTCCAATTATATACAGAGTATTAAAAAAAATAAAAGATTTTGTCATAACTTGGCCCTTCTTTGAAGATTAAAGTTTATATATATATATATATATAAGAAACTAAAAATAGAAGTTTGAAAAGAAGTATTTACGATTTTTGAATTATCAAATAAATTGTTAACTAATTCAAGCATAATTTTAAATAAAGAACGGTTGAAAAAATAATCACAATCATCATCATGAATCATTACTTACAATAATACTAAAATAACGATAATAGGATATTCTGAAATCATTGCATATCGACTGTTGTATAACATAACAATCATTATTTAAAATTATGAATCCAGCTTAATTATTGCTATCAATATCTTCATCCCTTGGTTGTTGGCCTATGGAACTCAACAACTCTTTAAATTTATTGGTGGCTGACTCAGGCAAGCAAATGCATACCACCATTCTGTCAGTAGGATCAGCCTCCCCTTCTGGTAGGAACACACAGACTTGTGGTGTTGGGGTGAGGTCTATTGGGCCAGCATAAATTGGCCTTCCCCACCCAAAATCTGCACATTCATATATTGAGAATCTTGTCCACTGGGTTATTGTCAATTTCCCACCAAATTCAAGCCTTCTTGGCCTGTCCACCTCCACATGATCAATTGTTGATCTCAAGTATTCCTCTGACACCCCAGTCCGAGCATCGTGAACCAAATGAGCAATTTCTGTGAGATGTCTCGTAATAAGTTCATACACCGAGCTTACTGCACATGCTAGACATACCACGTTGCCATAGAAACCATCTTTCAATGGTGGGTTCTTGAGCTTGTTGCGAGCATTCACTGAAAAAGTAAGCCTTAGCTTATAGTTCAGTGGTTTTACATCCAATGCTTTTACCCATGACCTCCAAACATGAGCTGCCATAGCATCAAAAGTAGTGCAGGAGAACGTCTTCTGACCATTTGTTTGAGCTGCTACGGTTTTCAATTGCGCTTGAAACTCTCGGCTGATGCGGTAACACTTTTGAACAGGCTTTTCTTGCCATAGACTTCTTGTTAAGCTTGAGCCTTCATCTATTTTCATAAATTCCACATGCGGGTATTTTACCACCGGTGGATTGCGAGGCTGGAAAAATTTCCTATCCCAACATGGCTCCGGATTTGTAACCAAGGTGCCTGACTTTGCCGTTGCAGCCCATGCACGGAGGAATTGCATAGCACCAAGACCATCGCATATGCAGTGGCAGAGCCTTAGGCCCAAACTAAAGCCACCACAGCTAAAGAAAGTTACCTGTGCTATAAGCAATGGCATGTCAAGAATTTTGTAAGGTTCCTCGTTCGGGAACCTGAAAATCAAGGGGCCCCATCCTGGATTCGGCACTGTAAGTTCGCCTAGTTTATTCAAGGCCACCTCTGAGTATGCCTCTACCATGAGTGCACCTTGTCCTTGTCCAAAAAATACCTCCAACTTCCCATTCTTGGTTTCTCTAAGCCTGCCTGATAAAGGGTAGTAAGGAACTAAAACACGCGACAATGCATCAAATAGAGTTTTCACGATAGATTCTGGGGTGGAATTTAAGAAATCCGATCTATAAAAATATATGGTTGGGGTGAAAACACGAGCTCCGATGATGTCATCAAGGTTAGAGAGGTAGAGGCTGTCACCTGGGGCTGCTGATATGGGTCCTGCAGGCAAAACCGGAAGCAGATGACCGATTGTTACAGGAATGTTTACATGAGGAAAATGGAGTTCTTCAACCCATGAAGCCATGAAAAGCTAGCACTGAGAGAAAGCAATCATATATGTTAGCTGCTCAATTTGTAGAAGAAATAATTTCATCGGACATGCAAAGATGCTTGGCAATTATCATGACTGGGACCTTGTGATGATGCTTTATTGGTCTAGAACAGGTGACAGTCATGTTTTGCACGACTATTAAATTTTTATCAATCAATCATGAGAAGAATATTTGTCCATGCCATCTACATGTCTTTAGTTTTGTTGCCTTTGAATCTTAATTTCTTCATATGATAAAAATAAAAATAAAAATGGTATGTCTTTCATTAATTATGAAATAATTTTACTGGATATGAAAAAGCAAAATATTGCTGCACAAGGAATGCATGAAGGCAAGGTGGGTGAAGTTTAGAAGCCCAGCTGTTACATGCCAAATCCAATAAACTGAAAACATATATGGAATAAATTTTTTAAGGAAAAGGTTAATTTTTTATTTTATTTTTTTCAACAGTAAGAATGTCTTCATGCCAGCTTTAATGCATTTCAAGACCAATCACTTCTTGCTTTCATGCACCTCAAGATTAATCTCTTCTAAGTGTGGCACTCCCCAACATACAACTTCGAATATTCCGAAAATAAATTCTCAAGAATACTGGTCACGATGATCGAATCCCGAATCCGATCTACAAATCAACATTTGCTTACTAATAAACTACTACCTTATAATCGGAAAAAGGTTAATTTTGTGATCCAAATTACCAACCATATATACAACAATGCACTAAAAGAAAAAATAGTCATTTTTTTTTAGTTTGGGTCCCTTCTTATAGAAGCCTAAAACCCATATAAATAAAATTAAACAAACAAAAAGAGGGGAAAAAACAAAAACAAAAAAGAAAAGAATTTTTCTAAACTAAAATGTCACATGGGTGACTTAATATGAAAGCCAATTTTAACTTATTTGTGAAATAAGTTGCAGAAACAAATAAATAAATAAATTTGGTTGGAATAAAGAAGAAAAATGTTGCTCTTCATCTCTATTGTCTTATCGGACGGTGATAATTCAAACTTGATTAAGATGAAATTTTTATATGTTATTTATAGCAAAGAAATCTTCAACTTGAATAATGGTGATTGCTAAGAAGCTTCCATCTTTGAATATTCACTAAAAACTTATTTGACCGAGATCTAACTCTTTTTTTACTATTATTGTTAGAATTCATCTTTGTAATTAATGATGATTTTGATATTGATTACTTGATATAATAAAAGAGTTTTAGTAGACTACGAGTCTTGTAATTTTTTTTCCACATTATAAAAATTCATGTGTTGACTGTGTTTGTGTATTTATTTATTATTATATTAGTTATTATTGATTAGTTAATCCTAATTTTAATTGCACCAAAAAAAAAATGCATTAGAGACTTCTTATGTGCGATTTCAGTTTGTACACATGTATTTTCCCAACAATTTTAACTTATTATATTTTACGAACATCTACATTTATTTGGTGTCTTCTTTCTTTTGCTTTTAATTTACAAATATTAAATTTTAAGGGATTGACATGGTAGTTAAGGAAATTTGCTCTCTTTATTGACATTTTAGACTCGAATGCATCTTTAAAATCGTTCATGGAGGGACTTAGGTGATGTTTGATAAAATTGAAAATTAAGTGTTGAATCTATTAATTATTAAATTTTAAATGCTGAATAATTAAGTATTGAATATATTATTGACAAGTTGTTTGATATTTATTAAAAATTAAACGTTAAATATAATAAGGTTATTTGATAAATACTTTCGTTGAATATATTAAGGCTATATATACGACAACTTTAACCTTATAATTATAATATGATATTTTTCAAAACAAATAAAAACATATATATATATATATATATATATATATATATATATATATATATATATATATATATATATATATATATTTGTGTGTGTGTGTAAATAATTAAATAAATATTCAATAAAAAATAATATTCAATAAAAAATTAAAGTCGATATAAGATAGCCAACCTAAGGAACGTGAGAATTGAAGATTGCTATCAATTTGGAGAGGTATTGAATTAGGTGAGATTGATCAAGTAAGCAACAAGGAGAAGGTGCTGCTGCTGTCATCTTTAACTGAGTTAAAATTGGAATGCTCATTTGGGCTCAAGTGTATAGGGAAGGGGCCTACTCGACATTTAAGCCTCCAAAGTCTTATTCATCTTCACACCGTCCCTGGCTCAGAGTTTACAACAAGTAGAAACACTTGAGATAAAAGATTGCAGTGAACTGGAGCATATTATCACAAGGATGATTTCTATAAGGGAGAAATAATTTCAGACTCTATTTGCTTCCCAAAATTAAAAACACTCTTCATAAATAGCTATGGGAAACTGGAATATGTCTTTCCCGTGTCCATGGCTCGAAGGCTTCTGAACCTAGAAGAGATAGACATTTCACGTGCCCACGAATTAAAGAAAATGTACCCACAAAAGATGGAGACAGCAACAAGAATAGTAAAGATTATTTCTCAATCAATTTATATAGTTAATGTTATAAGAGTCATATAGTCATATTTAAAAAGTTTAAAAAATCTTTCAATTGAGTGTGATAATCAAAAAGTAATAAATTAAAAATTTTAACTTATTTGTTTAAGTAGATTTTGACTGAACTTATATTTTTAATATGAGATTATTTAAGTTATCATATAAACTTTTTATATTAAATACTATAACTTAATGTTTTAAGCTACTTAATAGGTTATCAAATACCCTCTTAGTTTCGATTATTGCATATACTGATCTAAGAATATTCTCATGATCAAATAAAAAAATTAATTACAAATCATAGTAGTTAAATTTATTGGATGCACTTTGATTTTCTATCTCAAAATAATCACAAAATTCATGTGTCTTTTTTCTGAAATTAGGCATAATCCATGATTTTAGAACTTAAATAATTTTCTTAGTTAAACTTACTGTTTGCATCCACGTCAAAAGAGTCTTTTTTTTTTTTTATATCAATTTGGCTAAATGAGTATCTGTATTTTTATTTCAATCAATAAAGTATAATTTATTAAAATTAAAAATTTACTTCGGCCAATTGAGTAGTTTAATTCACTACGTGAGTCATTATCAATAACTTTCATTTTATTTCAGTGTTAATAGGCTTATGCTTTATTTTCTGACAAATATGGAATTTCTGATGAATATCCACAAATCCGTTCCATCAAAAAGTTCACATAACCTTTTTTTTTTTTCATGCATATAAAATGCTAATGGAAATTTCGTAGCTATTCCGTCAGAAAATTAATTAAAAAAAAAATTGAAAAGGAAGTCATTTTCGTAAAAGAAAACTTGAAGAATATTTAAAATATTTCATTCCATCTGTATTCAATTGGAAAAAAAAAATAGAAAAGTCTGTTCAGTCAATATTCCATCAGAAAAAGTTTAAAAATAATAAAAAATAAAGGTCATTGGATTTTTTTTTTAAAAAAAAATTGTTTCAGTCAGTATTCCGTCATAAAATACCGGAAAGGAATTTAATTATTTATTTTAGTATGATACGCTTAACATTATATTGAAGTCAAATTCACGATTAACGAAAAGATTAAATTCATTTGTCAAATTGTTGTATAAAAAACATGGAGAGTTATGATTCTTCTTTCCTGACGGAACTCTTTTTCTTAATAATTACTGCAGTTGATAACAAAATACAGTGAGCCAAACCAATCCTTCTATCCTATTATTAACTACAATTGAACCATAGTTAGTTTTTAAATCAAATTTAACCATTTCTTCTATTTCGGTGATTAACCAGTGAGGGTGACCAGGGTCATCCTTAATTAAATTAAGGTGTCAAATTTTTTAGGTCCAAAGCAAACAAGAAATTATGTGAAATCCTAGCCAGCTCATGCGTTATTTCGGAAAGTTCAGAATGATCACAAAGCAAGAGGAATAGGACTAATCCTCTGTCAGCAACTGAAATTGAGTGATTGAACACACCGTGATTTTAACAAAAGATAACAGCTAATCATGTTGAAAATATATTTCCCAAACCATGAAAAACATATTCAACCAAGATAAAGAAGGAAAACAAATCCAAACAATGATAGATGTCAGCCTATTCCTTCGCGTTATCCGAGTCTTCTCTCCTTCCCGTTAGTACCTCGGAAAGAGGAGTCTTTGAAGCCAGGATTTTTTTTATAAAAAAAAATGCTGTAAGAAGGTAAATTTAGTGGCTTAATAAAAAAAAATGCACGAGAAAGAAAATAAAAGAACCAATTCAAATTAACCCTATATTTTTATTTTTATTTTTTTTTTGATATTTTAGTGGTATATTATCATAAAAAAACATTATTTTTAAGATAAAGTGGAGGGAGAGAACATAAAGGAGATTTAAAAATGTAATTTCAATTTCAAGAAGGTGAATTTTCAGGGAAAAGAAAAAAACCTACAGGCTACAAAATAAAAATAACACTTGCCCACATCAATATTCATGAAAATATACAAAGCAAAGGGAAGAAACAAAAGGAAGCATGGCTTATGTTTAAGTAAACTTAAAAAAAAAAAAAAAAAAAAGAGATAAATAAACCGGGGTGGAAAATCAAGATGAAGTAACCGGCATAGAGTTATCAAATGTAGTTCCAACATGCTGAATAACAAATCCATAAATTTTTTTCTTCAGCTTCTCAATCTTTTCTGTAAGAAGTTCATCTCCTTTCAATGCAACACGGTCCAACCATTCATTGACCCTCTTCAACTGGGACAGAACAGCGGCAACTGAGCTAGAGTTAAGAGGCAATGATTTACTTCCATTATTAGCACACTCCCCTAACACCCGAAAACCTGCATCTAGGGACTCCTCGATGAACTTTACAAACCACATTTGCATCTCAGACTGCAAATTCAAAGCAAGTTCTACTGTTTCCTTCATTCCATAGCCCCTTGTCCAAACCCCAACTACAGGATCAGATGTTGGTAACGAGCTAGCCTTTAGAGAGGGTCTTCTGGACAAACTTCTTGGAAGAGCTGTTGGAGGTCCATTATTCTGATTGTTTAGAAGGGAAACAATCTCTAGATCAGTAGCTAAGGCAGCTTCAACCCATAAAGAAGCAGATTTTGACTGCTCAGTTGCTGTAGTGTCATGATCAGAACAGTGACTAGCAGCAACTGATTCAGCAATTGCACTATATCTTACAACATCATCGTAAATTGAGATAAATCGATCTATTGACGGTAGAGGATTCCCAGCCTTGGAAGAAGAAGAGAGTTCTGCAAATATGCTGCAGTTGACAGAAAGGACTAAATTATGATTAGATGCATCATATATGATGGTTATAGAATGAAAACTCAACGATGACACGCAGCATTTTTATCTTATTAATGCAAAAGATACCTCATGTTCAATATGTTTATAGTGTTCTCAGGAACTTGGAACAAAAAAAAATGAGTTTTCACGGTCCTATATATGTTTGTTTATGTGTTTGTGCTTGTGTGTGGAAGCACAAGCTCATGCAAGCAAGAAATGGTCCCTAGTGGCTTTACCTTAGACTCCTAACAACAGACTCAGTAGCAATTGCTTCCTCCAATGCTTCAGCTGCTGCTGTAGAAGCAAGAGCTCTTCTTTGCATAGCCTCCTGCATTTAGTCATCAAGTGAAAAATCTTTGAAAAAATCTTCCCTTTTTTCTTGTAATATGTGGCTAATTTAGAGATGTTTTCGTCAATATTTAAGCACTTGTGTTTCCACTACCAATCACTGTCACGAGATGGCTTGTTGCTAGTAATCTGATAACTAAATTGCTGCTAATGCCAATGTGAACGAAATTTCTACTTCAGTGATGGAAGAAACAAGTGATCCATCCTAAATACCATTCTTACCTTTGCAAACCTTGCAAGGTCTGAAGAGACTGCATTTAATGGAACACTACCATCAGTCCATTTCTTCTCATGTACAGTGAATCCAAGAGCTCCACAGGTTGGCTTCTCCTTATCTAGACACCCTTCTGGTGAGCCAGATTTTGTTTTCTCATTACTCGAAGTCTCATCTTGATTGGATTGTCGACTGTTTGCATCACTTAGACGTCTAGACAGGGCAGCCTGGGAAACAGCCAATGCAAGGTCAGATTTAAACCTAAAATGAAATGAATCTCTCTATATCTGCATGGAAAACATAGATGATAGAACAGAAGACATACAAAAGCATAAGATGTAAGTAGTTAAAGGGATTTGATGGGCTAAAAGTAATTTGAAAATATATTTCATATAGCAAATACAATTCAGAATTGTATTAGAGAACCGGGAGTATAGACACTGAACCAGGCCCGAGCAAGCTACAATCCATTTGTCAGAACATAGAGAATCAATGTGATGTTTTCCTAGGTTTGAATACTAAAATTAAATGAATGTTGAATTGGAGGACATTCTGATAGCAAAGGCACAGTTTTTTTGGGAACCCAAGGAAAAATTTCAAGAAATGTTATCTTGTGAAGCCAGAATTCCATCATCTTATCATTAAATTTTTCTGAACTGAGCAAAGCCCCAGCGTTGCCAAATTGAATTGACTAAAAACAATCAATTTTAGAAGTAAAACCCAGTAAAACTACCAAAATGGTAATGGTATGTAATCAAACTAACAGAAAAATTCAGGAGTCTAACAAATACAGCATCATTGGAAAATTTCTCTTCTGCATAAGTTTGTTACAAAGCGTCATTTCTTCAAACAGCAATAAGTAAGATAGGAATTTACCTGAGTCCGCAAAATCGCTTGCAGATCCGGTTTCTTCTTGGCTTCACCCTTGTCTTTCGGCTCCCCTGAGCCCACCACAGCCGGCATCTCATCCCAGCTCTTCCTACTACTCTTTGCAGACCCGACAAGGGCCTCCGAAACTTTTGAAATCCCGGCGACAATATTTGCAATCTTTTTCTTTCCAGCAGAATCCGAGACGGCGGGCGACAGCTTCACTCCAGAAAGCCTCCTCCCCGGAGAAAGGGAAGCCCTTCGAGCATTGGGAGAAGGCTGCTTCCTGCCATTAGGAGATGGCTGCCTGTATCTAGATGGAACAATAATTGCTGGCTCCCTTGCAACTTTCCTGTTTTCCTCCTTGGCAGACACCAGGCTCGGAACCACACATTTGGACGGCACTGGAGATGCTGATCTCTTCCCTTTGACCATAGGAGAAGGGTCCCTCTCCACCAAAGCGGCATTTTTCTTCCCAGCCGAAACAGATCTCTTAGCTGCAGCCGGAGATGAAAATCTCTGCGGAACCTTATCCGAACCAGTCTTAGTACCTGTACCAATTTCATCTACCATCACATTATCTCGAGGCGCAAGCGCTTTTCTTGTAACTTTAGCAGTCACCTCAACTTTCTTATTTTGATCATTTCTTGGAAAGTCCTCACATTTTTTGTTGTTGGATAAGTAGACGGCAATTGGATCCACAGAGTATTCGGAGTCGGCGACAGGTTGAATCACAAATTCTCTTTTGGAAGCTGAAATGCGGGTAATGAGAGGTTCTGGAGTACCTACAAAGGGGTGGCGGCCAGCAATTGGGCGGATTCCAGAAACCCTAGGGACAGGAGAATCGAAATCGAAGCGATCGACGTAAACAAATTGACCCAGCTGAAGGCGATTTGTGAGTATGAGGTCGGTATCGCGTTCGGAGAGGGAGACGTAGGTAGAGTTGAGAGAGTCGGAGAGTTGGACGTAAAAGCCTTGGTTAGGCCAGAGATCGGAGCCAGCGAGAGCGGGGACAATGCCGATCACTTGGAGAAGAGGGGAGCGGTGGTCGCCGGTGACGCGGGCAGAGGAGTTCATCGATTGGAGGAGTTTTAGGAGGATGCCTGGAGTTAGAGAGGCCATTCTGGTACTGAGAGAGTGCGTAGTAGCTGTGTGGAAGGAAGAAGAAAGAGTTGGAGAATTAATTGAGGAGGACGAGGATAAAGTGAGTTTTGGCCGTTACGAAAATTCAAATTCAAATGCCCGCTATAATATTTTATTTTACTTTTTGAATTCTGCAGACGGATAGTAGACCCCAACTCACGGTAACAACGACGACTGTCGAGTCAGTCAAGTAAGCTGCCGTTACCTTCTGCGCTTGCACATGCAGGGTTGGTTTGATGCTCAGATGAATATTTACGAGTTAATTACATTTTTTAGTTAATCAACTTATTATTTTTTTCTAATTAAGTGTATATTCTTTAATCTTTGTTATTGGAGTAGAATAATTTTTTTCTAATCAAATGTTTTCATTAATTTTTATTAATTTTATATTGACGAGGCCGTTAACCACAAACATAGTATTGATATTTGGGTCCAATTATTATTTTTTTGTACAAACTTATCATCTTTTTTTTTTTTTAGTTAAGTGTGTAAATTTTGATTTTTATTATTTAAATGTACCAACTTTTAATTTTTTCATTTGAGTGGTTCCGTCAATTCAAGATTGATGTATTTGTAAACTATACATGTGAAACCGTGATGTAAGCTCCTTATCAAATATTTGTATCCAAAAATTTACTATTATAAAAATAAAAATGGATCAACTAATAAATATATAAAATTAAATAAAAAAAATTTCTAATCGACTCATCTTATCCAACCCAAATTCAAGTCTTCATTCACTTCAAATTGAAACTCAATTTCATATCATCTTCTTCTAAACAATCACAATTCTTAACTTTCTACCGAAAATGAGAATGAATCGTTATCTTGGTGAATAAACATAGCTAAGCTTTTATGTTTTAATTTTCGATCTTTTCCTCGCATCTAAATATATTTAAGTAATTTTTTTAAAAAATATTTTTTATGTAAAAGTCATAAATATCTTATTGTATTATGTAATTTATTTACCTTTATTGTTGCTATCTAAGAATGAGAATGAATCGTTCTTTTTTATTTTATTTTTTTTCTAATTGTCATGTGTCTCAAGAATGGACCAATATGACAATTTTATATATGTAGTTAATATACAAGTCGACCTAGAGTTAACGAAATCATTCAATTAGAAAAAACTACAAGTTAGTATCCTCAAATAGAAAAAATCAAAGTTTACACATTCAAATAGAAAAAATTACAAGTTTATTAAAAAAAAAAAAACAACTAATAGTGTGGCTCACATGTTGTTGTCACGTGTACGAGTTACTAGCCACATCGGCATAAAATTAACGAAGTAAATGAAAACACTTGATTAAAAAAAATTATAATCCGGTCTTGTAATATTCGTGACCTAAAACCCTATTAGAATGTAAATTTATTGTAAAGATTTTTTATTTAATTAATAAAAATAAAGTAAACACAATTATGATTGAAAGGAAATATCAATGGAATGAGAAAAGATTAAATTAGAGATTGGTATCATAAATTGTTAGGGTTATGCTTTGATGTAGGGGCTTAATCATAAAGATTAAAAGTTGAAGTCTTTGATTGAATTATTAATAAACTTTCGGGATTTAAATTATCCTTGAAATAGGTCTAGGATAAGGGCCAAATTGAGAGAAATTGTGAAGTTACGGACCAAAATTGAAGGGCTTGATTGTAAAGATTAAAAGTTTTAGGAACTAAAGTGTAAAATGCTAATGTTTTAAGGGATCAATGAAATGATTTTGAGGAGATCATTCCTTAGGCTGGAAAATGTGGAAGAAAATATCTTCCTAAAGTCGACAAAGGAGATGGAAGAAAGGAAGACAAAAATCAAGCAAAAATCTAAGGAAAAAGGAGGAAGAAAAGAGAAAAATGAAGAAAAATCTAGAGAAGCCGTTAACAACCAATCTTAAGATTAATCCAAGTATGACACACTTGACTTAATCATAAGGGAAACCATGGCTATAAAAGGAGATGAAGAAGATGGAAGAGGTTACAAATCATAAGCATTCAAGTAATCCTAAAAGAGGAACTATACCAACCAATAAGAAAAGTATCCAACCACCACTCCAAACCACCTTAGTTAGCCTAAAAACACCTTAAAAAAACCTCAAAATTAGATTAGAAGATAAAAAAAAAAAGGGTGAAAAAAGAACCATTTGGATCGAAATTTTAGGAAGAAAAAAGGAGGAAGAACACCAAAGAGGAAAAGAGAAGAATTGGCCAAACTTCTAGTAAAGTAAGTATAACACTTGGTTAGATTGGCCAAATTGCACTATTTTAGCCAAATTAAACCAAAGAAAAACAATATTTTCTTATGGTATAGTGAGCCAAGAAGAATTGGCCAATTTCGACCAAGAATGAAAAACAAAGGCATAAGGGGTAATGTGAGGTTAATGTTAATTTTGATGTTTAAAGGTATAAAATGGCATGAAAAATAATTTTAATCATGTGAAAAATGAATGAATTATGTTGCTTAAACATTTGGCCAAAATGTGTATTTAAGGTATGAATTATGTTTATTGTTTGTTCATGTTTGCATGCATACTTGTTTTATATGGAACATGTATTTGATGTATGATTATGTCACATTTTCTTGAGGATTTGAAAGTATTCATGGTGAGATTTATGTTAAATGCATTGCATTTTATTTAAATATACTTACACATCATAATCATGAAAGAGGTTTTACATTCAAGATTTTCACGAAAGGAAAAAGAAAAGGAAAGGTTTTCAAAAAGGAATGCTTGGTGCCTTCTTGAGGTTATGGGAATGGAATGATCATTCTCTCTTAAGAAAAAAAGGCACACTTAGCATGTTGATGTTATGAGAAGATACCTAGTGCTTTTTTTAATTTTTCACAAATAGCATGTTTTAACGAGAGGATCGATTATATACACAATAGACGGGTACATCCAAAGAAGAAAATAAATTTCAAAAGTACGAAAAGGTTTTTATAAAAGTTGCATCATATACATCACATGCATTGCATAGATTACACTTATTGAGCATTGTTCACCTTTGTTTCTTATAGTGTAAGAGAAAAGAAAAATGATTAAAGACCATCGTCGAGAAAAGATGAAGACTTGCTTTTTTGTGTGCTTAATGTGCTATAGTGTGAGAAACTATACCTTTGCTTAACTTAATTTTGGGTTATGTTTATTTTTTAGTAAGTTAAGCAAATAGTGGTATGTATTAATGCATGGTATGGTTAAAAAGTTAAAGTTTGATATTGTGGTATGTGTCGATTAGTTACACAACTTGTTAACCTAAATAGTTACTTGGCTAATCAATATGGTTTAAAGAAAATTCTTATGCATGATGAATCAATCAATAATTGAAGGCATGATGATTATTTTGGTCATGTTTTATCCTGTTGACTATCTAAAATAAGTGTAGTCAATTTTCGGATAATGATGGGGCAAGCAATGATGGTGTCACAAAGAAGAAAACATCTTATTTTTTGTAAGCTTTTATCATATTATGGACAAAAGTAAATCTAAGTGATAACAAAACAAAATTTTATATATATTCTTTTTATTCTTATGATTTCTTTCTTTTTTTTTTTTTTTTTTTTACGAAGTTGTTCCTACGAACTCTAGTCATGGCCTAAGGAAAAGTCTTACCATTAAGTGCAATTAGTTTTTTTAGATCCATTAGTTGGGTTATGCAAAGTGTTTCCTTCAAACTCCTTCATTCCTAAATGTACATTGAAAACCCTTTGATATATTATGGGATTATTAGAATTTTTTTTTCTAGATACAACATCACGATAATGTTTTTAAGGCTATTTAAATAAAAAATATAATATTTATTGACATGTAAATTAATTTAAAAATATCTATTATCACTAAATTAAATAATAATAATAATAATAATAACTATCATAGGATTATTTTTCATGTATTAATACATACAATTTTTCTCATGTATTTTAAATGAGTTAATTACATTTTTGGTGTACAAAGTAGTCAATTTTTTTTTTTTTGAGTGTTTCAACTTTAATATTTGTTATTTGAATATAGCAACTTGTATTTTTTTTTTTTTTTGAGTAATGATAGTGATAATAGCTCTATAAGAAGGGTTAATCACATTAAACGTCCCTTTACTCTACTTATTTTCTTAATGTGGCCCTTGTATTTTTTTTTTATTCAGCCCCTCTTTTTACTTTTTTATTTTTCATAATGTTGCCTTTCTCACCGAAATTCGACCAATTTTTCATATGGAATTGATAGTTGACGAAAAAAATAGCCACATGGCATGACAAGTCAAAGTTAATTTTCCACATGGAAAAAGACAAAAAAATATATATTTCCTCTCTCTCTCTCCTCTATTAACACAACATCAAAACCCAATTCTTCATTGTTTTTGTCGGTGATTCCTAATCTTTTTCGATTTTCCTCCTTTCTTTTTGTAGGAATCTTAAAATCAACTAGTAAGAACATTAAATATGGAGTCATTTTCTTTTTTTATTCTTTTCTTTTTTTGTGAATTTTTAACCACTTTTAAGATTAGTTGGATATGTGTTTGTTTGTCAAAAAAAAAAAAAAACAGAACGGACATATAAACAAAAAATGAAGAGGAGGAGACGAAGTATTAAAATGTCTTTGATTCGCACAAGCAATTAATGATGAGAAGTCTTGTGGTGAGTTATGCATTTTGTTCAAGTTTGCTTGCTGTAATTAACAAGTGTGCAATTATCAAATTCAACTACTATGGCCTTTTAACTACGTTACAATACTTCACCTTTGTACTAGGTGTTTGGGTTTTGGGCGAATGGGGGTTTTTACATCATGATTCCTTCACCTATGTTTATTCTTTTGAATGATGCTTGTGTATGCGGTTGTGAACTAACTTTTGTTTTGATATGAAAAACAATCACCTAACGAACTTCAATTCGCATATGTGTTTCGATATGGTTGGCTAATTCTCTAAGTCGTGTGTTATTTGCATATACATCGTGATTTGAAATTGATGATGGTGTCACTCTTTTGGATTCT